TTTTTTTTTTTTTTTTTTTTTTTTTTTTTTTTTTTTTGTTGTTGTTGTTGTTGTTTTAAGTAAGCTATATTCCGTCCCCTCTTCTGTGCTAAAGAAGACGGCTGTGAGGGAAATTCAAATTTGCCCTCCTTCTCCCCTCGCTTTGGCGACGTCGTGCGGAAGCCAGATTAAAAGGTAGGTTGTCCTCAGAAGCTCACAGCTGCAGAAGAGGCACAAGACAACGACGCAGAAGAGTGGAATTAGTATCATCACCGCAGACTTTTTTTTTTTTTACTTTTTTTTTCTGTAAGTCCCACCGTACTTCATCCTTTCTTTCTTTGTCTTTGGGAAATTTACGCGCAAGTGGTTGGGGTTTTATGACTTTTCATTGTTTTCAATTATAGAACAAATAGTAAAAAGGAGATAATTCATCACCATATGCGGAGTGGGGTCAGGGGATACCTCTCTCGGCCTTTCGGCTAAAATTGGATCAAATCTGGGGCCTGGTCCAACTAGCAAAGAAGATTGGATTTAATTCCCGAATCCGGACGCCTTTTCGGGAGAGATGCAGAAAAGCAGATCAATCACAGTTTTCTGGATCTCTCCACTACCACATCCAGATTCAGGAATTAACTCCAATCCTCTTTGCTAATGGGACCTGGCCCTTGGTATGTCTCTGCTCTGATCAGTTCAATATCATCTGATCCGTGTCCATCGCCCCATGATCGAATAATAATAATAATAATAATTAAAAAGTAAAATAGTAATAATTCTAACATAATAATAGTAATAATTCAAAAATAATAGAGAAAACTAGGGTGCCGTCATGGTTTGTGTATTTGAATGCATTTCAAACTGCAGTTTTTTTTAATTCTGGTCCCGTGGGGAGTTTACTACGCAGTCTAAGCTCTGCTTTGCAGAAGAGTCGCGCCGCCGAGTTTGCAACTGCAGTTCAGTCAGGCAGGTGGCCGGCCTTTTTTTTTTTTTTTTTTTTTTTAATTTTAAGTCTGCTGTGGGTGAAAAATAAATAAATAAATAAAACGGCCCCATGGTTGGTCCACGGCCACACCCCAGATTGGCGACGGCCGAGATTTTGTGTTTGGGTGGGGGGAACACGGTGCGCGACAGGAGGAAAAAAAAAAAAAAAAAAAGGGCCAGCTGCCTGACTGAACTGCAGTTCCAAACTCCGCTGTGGGACTTTTCTGCAAAGCGGATTTTCTTTCGACTACATAGCAAACTTCCGACGGGACTGTGGAATTAAAAAAAACTGCAGTTTGAAATGCATTTAGAAACTGCTTTCGTGACTGCGCGCTAGTTACCCCAAAATAATAATAGCAATAATTCAAAAATAATAATAGTAATAATCACACAGGCAATCTGAAACCATTAAAAAAAATAAAAAATAAAAAAAATAAAACCATTTAATTGCTTAAAAAAAAGGAGGAAGACTGGCTCGATTACGATGATGGCTAATGGGGGTTCAGACCCTTCAGACTCTTAAGAGAACCTGCACCTACTCAAAGATCATTATGCCAAAACAAATTACCTTTTTTCAGCGGGACTAAGGTGAAAAAAAAGAAAAAGTACGAAAACCAATGGAGCAAGAACAGAACGAGTCGCAAAAAAAAAAGAAGGAAAGAAAAGAAGCAGAAGAAGAAGAAGAAGAAGAAGAAGAAGAAGAAGAAGAAGGTGCAAACTGTTGGAACGAATGAGCTTGGGGTTATTTATCAGACATCCGACACAAGCTGAGAGATAAGTAATAAGGTAAGAAAAGAGGTGGACGCTGGACCCGGTTTCCAGCACACTGTAATTAAAAAAAAAGAAAAAAGAAAAAAAAGAAGAAGAAGAGGTGGAACACGTTCACCCCAAGTCATAAAACCCTCCCTCCGCGCGACGAAGCCTTTGCACCCGCCCACCCCCCCCTCCCTCCCAAACGGGTAAAAAAAAAGTGTGCCGCAGCCCCCAAAATCACTTTCAGCGCCAGTTTTGCACCCTGCAAAACACTTTCCCGCCATTTTCACAAAGAGACGCCGTTGCCGGCGCCAGTTTTGCACCCTGCAAAAAAATCCTTTCCCGCCATTTTTACAAAGAGACCCTGTCCCTAGAGCTTTCGCACACTAAATGGGGGAGCCTCAAGGGATAGGGTTAACAATGCAATCCAAAAGATTTAAACCCACAACTGAAGAAAATATTTTAAAAGAAAGTAGGAACCAACTGGAACTCAAACTCATCTCATGGAACGTAAACGGACTGGCCTCCGTTCTAGACAACCCGATCAAATGGAGGCTCCACGCCCCTAGACATAATTTGTTTCCAAGAAACACACCTGACTAACACCACAGAACACACAAAAATAAGATTGGCTATTGAACAAAAACTAAAATTCGTCAAAACAGCAATCTGGTCACATGCAGCATCTAATGGCTCCGCAGGAGTAGTCATCCTCCTCCACCAAAACTCTYGGGCTAGTCATAACATCATARTTGATCATTATAGTCAAGACAACGATACTGGTAGGTGGGTAAAGATAGACATCACATTCAAAGAGGAAGAGTTGTCCATCCTAGGGCTCTACGGCCCAACTACATATCAGGATAAAGGCCCTTTCCTTCAATCAATAGAACACTTAATCCCTAACTACACACATACAATCATCATGGGGGACTGGAACCTATCCCAGGACCACACCATGGACAAAATTTCCAATGCGATCGACAACTCCCAGGGGGCGATTGGCCAAGAGTTAGCTGATCTCATTATCAGAAAAAACCTACTAGACCCCTTTCGCCTACTCTACCCAGACAAAAAAAAAATCACATGCATAAGAAAAATGTTGAATAGTAGAACCTCCTTTTTTAGTTAAGACTTCTTCCTCACATCAGAATCCATTACGGGCACCATATTAGACTGCACTATTGAAAGCTCGCCCTATCGCACAGGACTCGATCATAAAGCCATTACCCTGACTCTCCGATTCACCAAGTCCGGACTCACAGGTAGAAGCTTCTACAGATTCAACAACGCTCTGCTCACCAGCCAACCCTTCTTAACTGAACTCAAGAACATTCTCTCCAACACCGCTCACCATTACCAAAGCGAAGACATTTTCATATCCTTTCCTAAAATAATCAACGAAATAAGTAAGAAGGTATCAATAACATCAAGAATGTTGGCAGCAAGAAGAAAAGAAAGACTAGAGATGTAAAAAGGTGCAATCGAAATAGCAGAACTTAACCTTCAACACAACCCGACCGCCGCATATTTCAGTGATCTTCTAATCAAGGCAAAGGAGGAAGTTTCGGAATGGACAAAATTCCGCCTCAGAGGTCTACAACTAAGGGCCAGAGTAAGAGATTGGGAAGTAAATGAGAAGATGACAAAGTACTTCTTCCAAAAGATTAAGTCTAACTCAAGAAATTCCTTGATAGAAAGCCTCACCGATAACCAGGGTATTCCCGCATCAGAAACCATAAACCTAGTCAATATAGCCGCCACCTTCTACAAAGACCTCTACACCAGCAAATCCACCCCGGGCAGAACCTACGAATCATCGCGTGCCAGATCCAAATTCCTTTCCCACCTAGATCACACACTATCACAAGAGTCAACAGACATTTTAGAAGAGCCCATCACACTAGACGAACTTCACAAAGCTCTCAAAAACCTTAAACCCAACAAAGCACCGGGCAAAGATGGTCTCTCCAAAGAATTTTGGATGGAAAGCTCGCACACATTGGGACCTCTATTCTTCCGCATCCTCAACTGAGCTTGGGAAGAGGAATCCTTGGGCCCCGATCTGAGCACCGGAGTAGTTACCCATCTCTACAAAAAAGGAAACAAAGAGGATATAAAAAACTATAGACCCATCTCTCTCCTAAACGTAGTCTACAAAATCCTAGCCAAACTACTAGCCACAAGGATAAACCGTATAACAAATACCTGCTTCCACATAGACCAAAGAGGCTTTATCCCCGGTAGATACATCCTCGACAATGTAATGACCCTATGCGAAACCACAAGGATTCTAAATCAAAAAAGGATCACAGCAGCCCTATTGTACTTCGAGTTCAAGAAAGCGTACGATCAAGTTAACTGGTCTTTCCTGCAATCGTGTATGGAAAAAATGGGAATAGGTCCAAATTTCCGAAAATGGGTGAGAGTCCTGTATAATGACGCACAGGGTTTAGTCATAGTCAACGGATTCCTGTCCAACCCCTACAGAATGACCAGGTCAGTAAGACAAGGAGACCCGCTGGCGGCACCTATCTTTCTTTTTGTCATGGAAGCCATTGCTTCATTCCTCAGAAAAGATGAATCCATAGAACGCTTAGAGGGCATCAAAGATGAAAGAGGCCACCCACTTCAGCTCCCGACCACCCTCCTTTTCGCAGATGACCTAACCGTCCTCATTAGAGCTTCTGATTCTTCCTTCCAAGCATTAATAAGAGCAATGCAAGCTTTCCAACTAGCCTCAGAAATGAAAGTGAACTGGAGGAAAACAATAGGCTGGTGGCTATCAGACACCCAACCCCCACTAGAAAGCATGCCAGAAGGAATGCAGTGGACAAATCCCTCTTCCCCCATGAGCTTCCTGGGCATAAACCTCAGCCTCAAAGGCTGTCACCTTGCCTCGGCAGACACCCTTATATCCTCAATGATAAACAGGATGCACTGTTGGCAAGGCGTTCACACCTCACTCTTAGGCAGGGCACTAGCGCTAAACAACTCTATCTTGGCAATGATGTGGTATGTAACCACCATATGGTTCCCGTCCCAGGACTTCGAAAACAAATACGTAAAAGAGCAACAACGTTCCTCTGGACCGGAAACCCGGA